TGTCAGCTCTGGCCCATGGTTTGCCCTCTCCCCTCCTCTCTTTCCGACTACAGCTTAGAGAATCTCTATCAACGGATTCTCCTCTAAGAGAAGTCTCTCTCCGATTTACGTGCATCTCCGCACCAATCGGCTTTCCCCCATCTCTTAGTTTAAAAACTGCTCTACGGCCTTATTAATGTTTAGTGCCAGCAGTCTGGTTCCACCCTGGTTTAGGTGGAGCCCATCCTTCCTGTATAGGCTCCCCCTCTCCCAAAAGTGTCCCCAGTTCCTAATAAATCCAAACCCCTCTTACCTACACCATCGTCTCATCCACGCATTGAGACTCTAAAGCTCTGCCTGCCTACCTGGCCCTGCGTGTGGAATTGGAAGCTTTTCCGAGAACGCCACCATAGATGTCCTGGATTTCAGTCTCTTTCCTAGCAGCCTAAATTTGGCCTCCAGGACATCTCTCCTACCCTTCCCTACGTCATTGGTACCTACATGTACCATGACCACCGGCTTCTCCCCAGCACTACACATAAGTCTATCTAGATGCCTCGAGAGATCCGGAACCTTCGCACCAGGCAGGCATTTATGAGTTAATAAGTTGCATTTATGAGTTAATAAGTTGTACATAGAACAATTGTCCAAAAATGTGAGGACTCAAAACATATAGTACCTCTCTGATTGTCCAGTCCGCGATTCAGAGAAAACATCCCAGCACCATGTCACCACCCAGCTCTGCATGCAACTAAGTCTGAAAGCCAGAGAACAAGGGGAAAACTTTAGGTCCTTTTATAAGTAAAGAGCTGGAGCAAACTGCCCCTTATCTGTTTGGTCCTCGCCCCATAGATGATGGGGTTCAGCATGGGGGGCAACAGGAGGTACATATTAGCAATGAGAATGTGGAAATGCAGGGCTACATTTTGCCCAAACCGGTACATGAGGGAGGAGAAGATGGCCGGGATATAAAAGGCTAAGATGGAGCACAGGTGGGAGCTGCAGGTCCCAAAAGTCTTGAGCCGGGCATCCTTTGTGGGGAGGCTGAAGATGGCCCTGAGGATCTGGGAATAGGACACAGAGATAAAAAACACATCCAGACCAAGCACACAGAACACCACAAAGAGGCCGTAGTAGCTACTGACGCGGATGTCAGCGCAGGCCAGCTTCACCACGGCCATGTGCTCGCAGAATGAGTGGGGGATGATGTTGGTTCTGCAATAGGGCCGACTCCTCGCCAGGAGCGGATGGACCATAACAAGCACACCACCGCGCAACGCGATGGCCACACCAATCAGGGACACAACATGATTTGTCAGGATGGTGGAATGTCTCAGGGGATGGCAGATGGCCACGTAGCGATCAAACGCCATGGCCACGAAGATCCCTGACTCCATCACTGAGAAGCAGTGAATGAAGTACAGCTGGGTGAGGCAGGCACTGAAATCAATCTCCCTGGAATTGAACCAGAAGATCGCCAACGTTTTAGGCAGGATGGACGTGGGTAGAACCATGTCGGTGACGGCCAGCATGCAGAGGAAATAGTACATGGGACCATGGAGGCTCGTCTCCTTCTTCACAATGAAGAGGATGGTGAAGTTCCCCAAGACAGCAATGATGTACATGGTGCAGAAGGGGATGGAGATCCAGACATAGACTGACTCCAGGCCAGGGATGCCCAGCAGGATGAAGATGGAGGAGTTGGTGAAGTTGGTGGTGTTGGAACCTGACATGGGTTAAAGGAGAAAGTGCCCGACCGGGAGGCAGAACAGTGTATCCTACGGGTACCGTACGTTTCTCTAGGGTGATGGTTGTAGTTCAAATACCTGGAAAGAGACAATATTAATATGAGACTCTACATGCGTAGTTAGCTTTTGGTCCACTCAGAACCCTAAATCCCTTTTCACAGTCCTGCTTTGACCGTTTCTGCAGTTTGTCCAGATTCATTTCAGCTTTCATCTTGTCCTCATAGAATAAGAACATAATAATATAAGAACATAAGAATGACCATACTGGGTCAGACCAAAGGTCCATCTAGCCCAGTATCCTGTCTGCCGACAGTGGCCAGCACCAGGTGCCCCAGAGGGGGTGGACCGAAGACAATGTTCAAGTGATTTGTCTCCTGCCATACATCTCCAGCCTCTGACAGACAGAGGCCAGGGGCACCATTTTATCCCCTGGCTAATAGCCTTTTATGGACCTTAACCCCATGTATTTATCTAGCTTCTCTTTAAACTCTGTTCTAGTTCTAGCCTTCACAGCCTCCTCTGGCAAGGAGTTCCACAGGGTGACTGTGTCTGTGTGAAGAAGAACTTTTGCTTATTAGTTTTAAACCTGCTACCCATTAATTTCATTTGGTGTCCTCTAGTCCTTCTATTATGAGAACTAATAAATAACTTTTCTTTATTCATCCTCTCCACACCACTCATGATTGTACATACCTATGTATCATAGAATCACAGAATCCTAGGGCTGAAAGAGACCTCAGAAGATCATCAAGTCCATCCCCTTGCCCGAAACAGGAGCAAACCCAACAAAATCATCCCAGCCAGGGCTTTGTCGTGCCAAGACATAAAACCCCTTCCCCAGGGAACCCATCCCAGTGCTTCACCACCCTCCTTGGGAAATAGTTTTTCCCTAATATCCAACCTAGACCTCCCCACTGCCACTTGAGCCCATTGCTCCTTGTTCTGCCACCTGCCACCACTGAGAACAGCCTCTCTCCATCCTCTTTGGAACCTCCCTTCAGGGAGTTGAAGGCTGCTCTCAAATCCCCCCTCACTCTTCTCTTCTGCAGATTAAACAAACCCAACTCCCTCAGCCTCTCCTCGTAGGCCATGTGCTCCAGCCCCCTAATCATTTTGGTTGCCCTCCGCTGGACCCTCTCCAATGCAGCCACATTCTTTCGGGGGGGGGGGGGGCAAAACTGGACATAATACTCCAGACGTGGCCTCACCAGAGCTGAATAAAGGGGAATAATCACTTCTCTAGATCTGCTGACAATGCTCCTCCTACTGCACCTTAATATGCCATTTGCCTTCTTGGCCACAAGGGCACCCTGTTGACTCATATCCAGCTTCTCATTCATTGTAATCCCCAGGTCTTTTTCTGCAGAACTACTACTTTGCCAGTGGGTCCCCAGCCTGTAACTATGCTTGGGATTCTTCTGTCCCAAGTGCAGGACTCTACACTTGTCCTTATTGAACCGCATCAGATTTCTTTTGGCCCAATACTCTAATCTGTCTAGGTCACTCCAGACCCTATCCCTGCCCTCCAGCGTATCGACCTCTCCCCCTAGCTTAGTGTCTTCTGCAAACTTGCTGAGGGTGCAATCCATCCCCTCCTCCAGGTCATTAATAAAGATGTTGAATAAAACCAGCCCTAGAACCTATTCTTGGGGCACTCCACTAGTAACCGACCACCAAACTACTTCGAGCTGTTGATCATTAGCCGTTGGGCCCGACAGTCTAGCCAGCTTTCTATCCACCTTACAGTCCATTCATCCAATCCATGCTTCCTTAACTTGCTGGCAAGAATATTGTGGGAAACTGTATCAAAAGCTTTGCTAAAGTACTTGGAACCCCTCCCCGTTTGGCATGTCCAGCAAAGCTTATAAGTGTACTCTCCATGTCACTATCCAACTCCTTGATGAAGAAATTGAACAGAACAGGTCCCAGAATTGATCTCTGTGGAACCTCGATTATTTCAGCATTCCATGATGGCTGTGAACAATATCCTACCAATTATTTGCACAGCATCTAGATTGCATTTCCCTAGTTTGTTAATGAAAAGGTCACGTGAGACTGTATGAAATAGCCTAATGTAGTCGAGATTTACCACATTTACGGCTTCTTACCTACCAATGTCTGAGACAAGCTATGACCATGGCGGATGCTGACTGAAGTCTGGGACTGTTTAGTTTAATGAATAGACAAATAGGTGGGCATATGATAGAGGAGAAAAAACCAAACAGAAGTGATCTCATTCACAGAATCCTTGCATTGGAAGAGCCCTCAGGAGTCATTGAGTCCAGCCCCATGCCCAAAGAAGAACCAACCCCAACTCAATCATCCCAGCCAGGTCTTTGTAAAGACAGGACTTAAACACCCCATCCCTAGGGAACCCATCCCAGTGTTTCACCACCATGTTAACATCCACCCTAGACCTCCCACACTGCAACTAGAGTCCATTGCTTCTCTTGACCTCGCATTCTCTACACCAGCCTAGAAAATGCAGCTTTGGCTTGCATACAGAGGGGCACAGCATGACAATCACAGAGAGTGATGGTATTCCTATACTCTGTCCTGGGTCGGCCTTAGCCGGAGTCCTCTGTCCAATTTGGGCTACCCACGTATCAGAAGGCAGTAGAGAAAGTGAAAAGGATTCAAGATGAGAGACAGAAGGTGATCCAAGGGATGGAAGAAAATCCAAGTAAAGAATGGCGTGCTTATCTCGGAAGAGAGGGGAGCACGAAATACTTCAAATACTTGAAAGGCTGCAATAGACGGATCCAGACAGGGTTAGTGGGTTCAAGCCACGGCAGAGTAGGCTGAAATGGAAACTCAAGGAAAACTTTCTAAGTGTAAGAACGGGAGGAGAAAGGAAAAGATGCCTCGGGAGGTTGTGGAAACTTTTAGGGGATTTTGCCAAAGGAGGTTGCAGAGTCATTGGCACAGACAAAAGAAATCCATCACCTGGGTAGGGCGATAAACTAGATGACACTCGCGGTCCCCTCTGTCGTGTGGCTCTGTGATTCATTGATGTACAACCCTAGTGTAGCTGAGAGCTTCTTCCAAAACACAAGTAATGGAGCAAAACACGGGAGCAAACCAGGTGAAATGTGATGGCTTCTGTGACACATGAATTCAGGCTGGATGAGATAACACTCCTTTCTCACCCTAAAACCTATGGAATCATAGAATACTAGAACTGGAAGGGACCCGAGAGGTCAAACCTATTAAATTGTCAATAAAGGAAGTAGATCAAGTATTTATATTTGCCGTGTCTTATAACTCATAAACCTGGAAGCTTCCGTTATATTGAAAATCTGAACGTATAATAGTGAGTAAAGAAAACTTTTCAGATGATACGTATTTCCCCAGGGGAACTCCTTGCCACACACATTATTAGAGAAAAGAGCTTGGTTGAATGGGCTTCATAGATGGATCGGCCATTGTAGGTGATGCTGGTGGTTTGACCTTTAGTTAAGGTTGTCTGACCCCTTCACATAGGAGACCTCATTTTCAGTTGTTCGTACGTTTTCCAGACTTCAACCATGTGTAGTGAAATTTCCCACGCTGGGTTTCTGCCTCTGGCTGTGTGTATGAACACAGCTGGCTCCTCAGCTCTTTTCTCAGTTCTTACTCAGAACTCCTGGGGGCTCTGAGTAAACTCCAGGCCTTGAAATGTGGCCTTGTGCTGTACAACTAGTAACATTTTGCTGTGCCGCTGAAATGCAGCCCTACTGGGGCTAAAGGCCGTCAGCCAGCACGGCTGGGGAGAGGGGCAAAACAAGGATGGACATTTTGACCTATGATATTGGAGAAAACTCATCCCCTGGGATGGCTAGTGGCTCAGCAGAGAGGAAAGGACCCCTAATTTATTTTCTGTCCCTTCAGGAAAACATTGCCCTGGGTCTGTGGAGCCCTCGGCTAGAGCTGGTACCTGTGAGTGTTGAGAGGGACGTGTCTTCCCTGGGAACCCCCCTCAGGCAGCTGCATCCCGCACCTCTCTCAGCCCAGCGTCTGCAGCAGCGTCCCGTGTTGAGAGTCGGCACAGGGCTGTGCACTGGTTATAACACAGCTCTGTGCAGACCCAGTGGGGTTCACTTAGCCTCTGGGGGAGAAGCCCTACCCAGAAGTAAACAGGCTGGAGACAAGAGACACTCTAGCAAATATCTGAGCTTTCCACATCTCTGCTTCTGGGCTAATTACCCAGCGATAGGTGTAAACAGCAATTAAAGGCCCCTCCCAAAGGGAGAGGAGAAGTCCTGGGTCCTGGGCTGCATCAGAGAATTGGCTGCTCTGTGTACTTGGGGGTATTGAAAACAAATATGTGAGTAGTGAGAAAGCCAGGGATAATGCCTGGGTCTCCACTGGGTCTGATGCCCAGTAAATGCCAGGGTGGATGGGAAGGCCAACGGTTCTGGAGACAAATGATTCAAGTGAGAGATGAGCACTTTCTGCAGGCACCCAGGGTCCTCACTAAGGGTATGTCTACACTACCCCGCTAGTTCGAACTAGTGGGGTAATGTAGGCATACCACACTTGCAAATGAAGCCCGGAATTTGAATTTCCCGGGCTTCATTTGCATAAACTGGGCGCCGCCATTTTTAAATCCCTGCTCGTTCGAACCCCGTGCCGCGAAGCTACACACGGCACGAACTAGGTAGTTCCTAGTCCGAACTACCGTTACTCCTCATTCCGCTGCCATTTTTAAATGCCCGGTAGTTCGAACCCCCTGCCCGCGGTTACACATGTAACAGGTTAGGCAGTTCGAATTAAAGCTCCTAATTTGAATTACTGTTACTCCTCATTCCATGAAGATCTTTAAATCAAACTACCTACTCAGTGCCACGTGTAGTCGCAGGCACGGAGTTCAGACTAAGGGGGATTTAAAAATGGCAGCGCCTGGGAACATGCAAATGAATCCCGGGATATTTAAATCCCAGGCGTCATTTGCAACTCTGCTTGCCCTCATTACCCTACCTAGCTCGAACTAAAGAGCTAGGCTACATCTACACTGGCCCCTTCTTTGGAAGGGGCATGCTAATTTTGAAAGTGGGAATAGGGAAATCCGCGGGGGATATAAATATCCCCCGCGGAATTTAAAAAAACATGTCCGCCGCTTTTTTTCCGGCTTGGGGAAAACCCGGAAAAAAGCGTCTAGACTGGCCTGATCCTCCGGAATAAAGCCCTATTCCGGAGGATCTCTTATTCCTACTTTGAAGGTAGGTAACTGGCTCTGTGGACATGGGGAATTCAGTGGATGTGAGATACCTTGACTTTAGCAAAGGTTTTGATACAGTCTCCCACAATATTCTTGCCAGCAAATTAAGGGAGTATAGATTGGATAAACGGACTGTAAGGTGGATAGAAAGCTGGCTAGACTGTCAGGCCCAACAGGTAGGCTGTGTCCAGACTCAGGGGTTTTTTCGAAAAAAGTAGCCTTTTTTCGAAAAAACTTCCCCTGCGTCCAGACTCAAGCCGCGTTCTTTCAAAATTAATTCGAAAGAACGCGGCTTTTCTTTCGATGGCGGTAAACCTCATTTCACGAGGAAGAACACCTTCTTTCGAAAGTTCCTCTTTCGAAAGAAGGCGTTCTTCAATGTAAATAGGGCTTCTTCAAAAGAGCGCATCCAGACTCACTGGATGCTTTCTTTCGAAAAAGCAAGCCGCTTTTTCGAAATTTCTCCGCGCAGTCTAGACGCTCTCTTTCGAAAGAGCCTCTTTCGAAAGAAGCCTGCAGTCTAGACATAGCCGTAGTGATCAACGGCTTGATGCAGGTTGGTGGTCGGTTTCTAGCAGAGAGCCCCAAATATCCGTTCTAGGGCCGGTTTTGTTCAACATCTTTATTAATGACCTGGATGAGGGGATGGAGTGCACCCTCAGCAAGTTTGCAGATATGAGTGAAATGGAAGGGAAATGTCCCAGCTCTGCCAAGGCTTCATAATGTGACTTTGGGCAAGTCATTCCTTCACTCTGAAATGTACAGCATGTGGTCACTGGTCAACAAGCAAGACAAGGCTGGAGCATAAGCTGTGTGGAAGCTTGTTTTTATTGCTGTAGTTTGTAGATCTTTCTTTAATAAAACGCTCCTATTTAAGAAGGACTGCACAGCACAAATAGCTTTGCTGCATCTATTGCAATCCAGAGGAGCAATGCCAGTTCTAGTCCATATCAATCATGGTATGGAGTCAAGAATCCCAGTTCCTGCTCTCAACCCTGGAGCCGATTCTCTGGTGAATCGCTTTCCCTCTCTGTGGCTCAGTGTGTTCATTGACACAGTGATAAAGCCACCAAGCAACCTAGTTACAGCTCTATGTGTAGTTACCCACAGCAGCATGCAGGTGTATGCTGGGCTCATTTCACTGTATAGCTTCAGCACCTGGCCAGTGGGGTCCATATAGTTTCAGGTGAGGATCCAGGTACGCATGTAAATAGCCATCTAGCAGAAGCTGTGCTGGAAAATGCAGGGCCGGTCCTTCTGCTTCTCTTCGCCGATGTCTTCCTGATGTCAAAGCCCGCAGACTTGTCTCAGGCAAAGGGCCCCCCAGCCCACACCCATTGCAGGGACCCAGCCTGCTGCCAGCTCCAAAAGGGAGGGACATGGGAACGGAAAGCTAAATCAATTGGCCACACAGAGGTCTCTGCCCCCAGAGTGATAGAGCTGGGTCTGGTCCTGTTTGGAGCAGGGGTTAGACTAGATGACTCCTCAGGTCTCTGCCAACCCTTGCTGTCTATTAATCTCTGGTACAGGCAGTCCCCGGGTTACGTACAAGATAGGGACTGTAGGTTTGTTCTTAAGTTGAATTTGTATGTAAGTGGGAACTGGTACATATTGTAGGGGAAACTCGAGCCAAACATTTCTCCATAGCTCAGTTTTATTCTCCCATACCTCACTTCCCTCAGTCCTGCAGACCACGGAGACACGGAGCGGCTTTTCTCGCCGCGGAGGACGCGGGCGGCGGGTCCGCGGCGCATCTCGGCGGTCTGCTGGGGGACTTCCCTCAGTCCTGCAGACCACGGAGACACGGAGCGGCTTTTCTCGCCGCGGAGGACGCGGGCGGGGGGGGAGCGCAGCTAGTGCGGGGTTGCCTCACCCCGTTTGTAAGTAGGGATCCGATGTAAGTCGGATCCATGTAAACCGGGGACTGCCTGTACTAGGCTCTTGTCTCTGAGCATTGTGTGAGACATCATGGTGCCCACCTGACAGCCAACCCTGTTCCTCATCTGCAGATGTTCTTATACGGCTTCCTGGCTTCCCTCTCTGCTCCTGATTGACCTATTGTCCCCCGTGCCATGTCCTGGCTAGTCCCACGACCGGCTGCCTGTCAGGTGGCAGCAGCTCCCACCCCAGAATCAGAAGGAGCCCCGCTGGGTGGAGGATGGAGGTGGAGATGAACCAGCGAGGGCCAGGTGGCAGGGAAGAGGGGAGCTAACGACTGTGGTATGGCTTTGGGGGACTAAGCAGAGAAGGCTGTGAGGTTTGGAAGGAAGATGTGGAGAAGGGGTTGGACTTTGGAGGAAGAGATGTGGTGGGGGAGGGACCTTAGCAGGACTTCCAAACCTGGCCACCCTCTGAGTTAACGAGGTGTACGCAAACCAGTTCCCCAATCTGTCACACTGACACAGCACAGTCTCTCTGATGGTCCCATCAGTGAATCAGAGAAGATGTTGCCATCCAACTCTGCATGCAACTAAGTCTGAAAGCCAGAGCACAAGGAGAAAACTTTAGGTCTTTTTACAGTGAAAGAGCTGGAGCAGCCGGTCCCAGATCTGCTTGGTCCTCACCCCGTAGATGATGGGGTTGAGCATATGGGGCAACAGGCGGTACGTACTGGCAATGAGAATGTGGAAATGCAGGGCCACATGCTGGCCAAAGCGGTACATGAGGGAGGAGAAGATGGCCGGGACGTAAAAGGCTAAGATGGCGAGGAGGTGGGAGCTGCAGGTCCCAAAAGTCTTGAGTCGGGCATCCTTGGTGGGGAGACTGAATATGACCCTGAGGATCTGGATATAGGACAGAGCGATAAAAAACACATCCAGACCAAGCACGCAGAACACCACAAAGAGGCCGTAGTAGCTACTGACGCGGATGTCAGCGCAGGCCAGTTTCACCACGGCCATGTGCTCGCAGTACAAGTGGGGGATGATGTTGGTTCTGCAATATGGCCGACTCCTCACCAGGATTGGATGGACCATTACAAGCAAACTCCCACGCAGCACAATGGCCAGGCCAATTAAGGCCACAACACGATTGGTCAGGATGGTGGAATGTCTCAGGGAATCACAAATGGCCACGTAGCGATCAAACGCCATGGCCAAGAAAATCCCAGACTCGATCACCGAAGAGCAGTGAATGAAGAACATCTGGGTGAGGCAGGCACTGAAATTGATCTCCCTGGAATTGAACCAGAAGATGCTCAGCATTTTGGGCAGGATGGACGTGGGCAGGACCAGGTCGGTGACAGCCAGCATGCAGAGGAAATAGTACATGGGCATGTGGAGGCTCGGTTCTGTCTTCATGATGAAGAGGATGGTGAAGTTTCCCAAGATGGCTATGATGTACATGATGCAGAAGGGGATGGAGATCCAGACATGGGCAGCTTCCAGACCAGGGATACCCAGTAGGATGAAGGTGGAGGGGTTGGAGAATTCAGTTGTGTTGGAATCTGACATGGAGCAGGAGAGAAAGGGCCCAAATCCAAGACAGAACCGTGTCTTGTACTGCTCCCGATACCCAGCCCGGACTTCTATGTGGTCAGGGTGTAGGCTGGTGGTCTCAGTACACGTACCTGAATGGAGAAGCAAAGCTAATATGAGACATTTCATGCATTCCTGGAGGCTGATCTCTGGTTGAAGCAGGTTGGTTGGTCTTCACGTACTGAAAAATGACACATTCGGTATTCAGAGAAATGAACTCTGAACAACTGACCCTGCTAATGCCAGTTCCATATTTTAAGATTCTGCCTGCACCGATAATTCCTCTTCCCTGTGGTGTCTGCAAAGAAACAATGGGTAGCAGGTTTAAAACTAATAAAAGGAAGTTCTTCTTCACACAGCGTGTTGTCAGCCTGTGGAACTCCTTGCCAGAGGAGGCTGTGAAGGCTAGGACTATAATAGATTTTAAAGAGAAGCTGGATAAATTCATGGAGGTTAGGTCCATAAAAGGCTATTAGCCAGGGAATAGCAATGGTGTCCCTGGTCTCTGTTTGTCAGAGGCTGGAGAGGGATGGCAGGAGACAAATCGCTTGATCATTGTCTTCGGTCCACCCTCTCTGGGGGCACCTGGTGCTGGCCACTGTCGGCAGACAGGATATTGGGCTAGACGGACCTTTGGTCTGACCTAGTACGGCCGTTCTTATGTTCTTATGTTCTAATGTTCTAACAAAAATCACTGGCAAGAAGCATGAATGTGGATACAGGCCATCAATGGTTGTTTGTTAATTTAAATTAAACCTGAGCTGGGCTGGAGATTCATTGCCTTCGAGAGATTCCCATTTACCTGGTTTCTCCAAAATTGAGATTAAAAAAAATCCCCAAACCTTTGCCAGGGCATGTTCCAGGGGAGATGTCCCAACGAGAACACATTTCAGAGAAAATGCCTGTCTGTCCCTAAGACCAGCCCCACGGAAACACCTCCTCATGCACAGCAGTGGCTAAGCGAAGACAATGTTCCGATGCCTAAGAAATGGGACAGAGAATCCCAGGGTCATAGAAAAACAGAACTGGAATAGACCTTGCAATATCTCCAGATCAAGTCACCCCCACTCGTGGCAGGGTCAAGCAGGACTTAGCAGCGTCTGGACCATCCCTGCCAGGTGTCTGTCCAACCTGCTCTTAAATATCTCCAGGGATGGAGATTCCACAACCTCCCTGGGCAATTTATTCCAGTGTTTCACCACCCTGACAGGCAGGAAGTGCTTTTCCATGTCCAAATCTGTACTGCCCTTGCTGGAATTAAGCCCATTAATTCTTGTCCTATCATTAGAGACTAGAGAGAATTTTTTTCTCCTACCCCTTGTAACACATTTTTAGGTTCTTGGAAGCTATCATCTCTTTTCCAGTTTAAACAAACCCAAATATTTTAATCTCCCCCAATAGGTCGTATTTTCTAGACCTTTAATCATTTTGGTTGCTCTTTTCCGGACCTTCTCCATTTTATCCACATCTTTACTGAACTTTAGTTGGGATTGGTCCTGCCTAAAGCAGGGGGCTGGACTTGATGACCTTCTGAGGTCTCTTCCAGCTCTGTGGTTCTATGATTCTATGTGGCACTCAGAACTGGACACAATACTCCAGTTGAGGACTAATCAGCGCAGAGTAGAGCAGAATTTTTTTCTCATGTCTTGCTCACAACATGCCTCTTAATCATCACAGAAAGATATTTGTCTTTTTTGCAAGTGTCACATTGTTGACTCATATTTAGCTTGTGGTCCACTATGACCCCTAGATCCCTTTCTGCAGAACTCCTTCCTAGACAGTCGCTTCCCGTTCTGTGTGTGTGACATGGATTGTTCCTTCCGAAGTGGAGCACTTTACATTTGTCCTTCATCCTGTTTACCTCAGATCATTTCTCCAGTTTGTCCAGATCAGTATGAATTTTGACCCTAGCCTCTGGAGCACTTGTAACCCCGCCCAGCTTGGTATCATCTGCAAACTTAATAAGCGTCCTTTCTATGCCATTATCTAAATCATTGATGAAGATATTGAACAGAACCAGTTCCAAAACAAACCCCATGGAACCCCAATTGTTATGCTTTTCTAGCATGACTGTGAACCATTAATAACTAGTCTCTGAGTATGGTTATCCAGCCAGTTATGCACCCACCTTATAGTAGCCCCATCTCAATTGTATTTGCCTAGTTTAGTGATAAGAAGGTTGTGCGAGACCTTATCACTCATCTCTAAAGTAAGCAGTCAGGCAAAACCAAAACAAACACAAATATATGTCTGTTCTGTGTTCAACACAGATTATGAAAACAACAAAAGGAAAGTCTAAAAAGATTTGACAATATTGGGAAACAATGGAACATACATGGGATGGGGTTAATTAGAAAAATCTTGGAATATGATTAATGCCATTGACCAGCATGGTTTATAAAAAACAGGTCTTGTAAAATGGGGCTGTTTCTAATAGGGTTCCCCATACATCAGGCCTCAAATTGATCTGTTTCAATATTATCTTATAGGCTGAGGGATTTGGGTTTGTTTAGTCTGCAGAAGAGAAGAGTGAGGGGGGATTTGATAGCAGCCTGCAACTTCCTGAAGGGGGGTTCCAAAGAGGCTGGAGAGAGGCTGTTCTCAGTAGTGACAGATGGCAGAACAAGGAGCAATGGGCTCAAGTCGCAGTGGGGGAGGTCTAGGTCAGATATTAGGAAAAACTATTTCCCTAGGCAGGTGGGGAAGCGCTGGGCTGGGTTCCCTAGGGAGGGGTGGAGTCTCCATCCCTAGAGGTGTTTAAGTCCTGGCTTGACAAAGCCCTGGCTGGGATGATTGAGTTGGGGTTGGTCCTGCTTTGGGCAGGGGGGTGGAGTCAGTACAGATAAAATTGGCAGATGACCCAAAGATTGGCAGGGTGGTTACAATGATGCTTTCAGGGGCAGGCCCAGTGACTGATCGGGAACATTTAGCACATGGGGGCAAAGCAAATGAAATGTTTCAGTTCAGTCGCATGCAAAGTTGTCCTCTCCGAACGAGGAGTGCAGAACCAATCCACGGACTAGAGCACTTTGCTATGGAACGCAGGGACTCCAAAAAGCGGGTGGGGTCTTTGTGCGTACCCAAGCAAGGAGCAAGTGGAAGGAGGGGAAGGATTTCCCTGCTTCCTCTCGCTCCTTGCTTGGGTACGCACAAAGACCCCACCCGCTTTTTGGAGTCCCTGCGTTCCATAGCAAAGTGCTCTATTCGGGACGTCAGTCGTGAAACTGACCGTGCTCAGTTCTGGGGGGTCATGTTTTAAAGAGAGGGTGGCCAGGTCAGCGGAAGAATTCTTCTCTTGGCCCCATGCTGTTTACACCAGCACAGAAAATGCAGCTGGGCTTTCACTAAAAGAGGCAAACGTGAAAATCAAAGGAGCTGATAGTAACGGGCGGTGAACGTTCCGTCTGTGCTGCCCTCGCGGGGCCTCGGCTGTCGTACCGTGTCTAGCCGGGAATAGATCAGGAGCCGGAAAGCAAGTGGAAAGGGTTCCGAGATGAGAGATGGAATGAAAGCCACAGGACAGCAGATTTCGATGACATCGCAGGAGAACGTAAGGAGAGGGCGACAAAGGGACAGACGCCTCAGGAGGTTGTGGGGCCTCCTTCAGAGGAGCTTTTCCAAAGGAGGCTGGAGAGTCATTTGTCCTGGATGGTGCAGACAGAAGAAATTCCTCACCTGGGTAGGGCAATAAACTAGATGACACTCGCAGTCCCTTCTGGCTTGTGGCTGTGATTCATTGGTGTAAAACCTTAGTGTGGCTGAGTTCTTTGTCCAAAACACAAGCAATGGAGCAAAGTACAAGGGGAAACAGCATGAAATCTAATCACCTGTTAATTACAAATTCAGACTGGATGAGCCAACGGTCCCTTTTCACCCTAAAACCTATGAATTTGTAGGTAAAAGAAGTAGAACAGTAGAAGTGGCATTTCCGTTTAATCTGTCTCATACCACAAACCTGGAAGCTTCAGTTAAAATGAAAGTCTGGATATATTACAGTGATAAACGGAATTTTTACATAATACATATTTCACCTGGGGAACTCCTTGCCACAGTCATTATTAGAGAAAAAGAGCTTGGCTGAAGAGGCTCCATGGATGGATCGGCCATTTTACATAGTGTGGGTGGCATCAGCTTTAGTTAAGGCTCTTTGACATCTTCAATTAGGAGACCTCATTTTCAGCTGTTTGTAAGTTTGCCAGACTTTAGCCATTTGAGGTGAAATTTTCCATGCTGGGTTTCTCTTACTGGCTGAATTCTGTGTGTCTGGGGTTTTTAAAATAAATGTAAGGCTCACTAGTACAGCTGACTTCTCCAATGCAGTTAGGAGAATGTATTTCTTCTCCGTGTTGAGGGATTCATACGATGATTCCAGTGAGGCACTCTGCAGCCTCCTTAAGACTCGACAGATAAAAGCCAGTGACCATCTCCTGGCTTTCCTGGTACCAGTCAGAGCTGAGACACGCAAGAGGGGGAGGCGAGTGTCTCTGTGTATGAACACACAGCTGGCTCCTCAGCTCTTTAAAGGGTCGACATCCCTCTAGGGGATCTGAGTCAATCACAGGCCACAGCCGCAGAATTTGGCCTTCTCCTGCCTGTCTAGCAACTTTTCACTGCGCCACTGACATGGAGCCATTCTGGGGCGAGAGGCCCCAGCACGGTTGAGGGATAAGCAAAGCAAAGACGGATATTTTGGCCTATGATACTGGTGCAAACTCAGCCCCAATGGAAAGGGCCCTCTCCCGTCAGTGCAACAGGGCACTGGGTCTGTGGGGCAGGGGAGTCCCCCCCTAGAGCTGGTACCTGTGAGTGCTGAGAGGGACGTGTCTTCCCTGGGAACCCCCCTCAGGCAGCCGCGTCCTGCAGCTCTCTCAGCCCAGTGCCTGCAGCAGCGTCCCGCGCCGAGAGCCGGCACAGGGCTGGGCACTGGTTATAACCCAGCTCTGGGCTGTCCCAGTGGGGTTCACTTGGCCTCTGGGGAGAAGCGGCCTCTGGATGCAAGCAGGCTGGAGTCACTCTAGCTCTCCATGTCTACTCTTCTGTGCTCTTTGTCCAGCGTCAGGAGTAAACAGCAATTAAGGGCCCTTCCTAAAGGGGAGGTGAACTCTTGGGCTCTGGGCTGAGTCAGAGAGAAATTAGCTGCTCTGTGCATTTGTGTCTATTTGCAAATCATGGATGATTATTAAGAAAATCAGGTTTATTGCTTTATGCGCCATAGAGTCTGACACCTGTTGAATCACAGGAAGGATGGTGGGTAGTGGACAGAAAGATCTGGAGACAAATGATTCAGGAGTGATATGGAGGCACACGGTGCTGTCACCAAGGGATCAGAGACCAGTGACTCTCATCAGTAGCTAGCATCATACTCAGAAGCACCTTTCATTGAAGGGCCTATAAAACACCTATCAAAGAAAAGTCACTATGTACATATCCCCATTATACAGACCTGTAAACTGAGGTAGAGGGAAAGGTGACTTGGCCCGAGAGAAGCCAGGCGTGCTGACTTCCCTGCTTTAACCACGGTGTCCTTATCAATACCAGAGCATATGACGAGAGTGAATTGGACACAAGGTCTAACAGAGCCCGTTTGTTGGGAACTATGCTGGAATTCTCTGAGCAGTAATCTGGAGCCCTTGACATACCCGTCTGGGATCCCTCTCGCAGGGCGAGGTTCTGACAAGCTGCAGTCCTGCTCAGGTCTTACACTCACATGGCCATTCCCAGATAGGTGCACACCCAGCTGAATTACATGAATCCTTTTGCCAGCCTCTCCTGAACCGCCAATACACAGGCTGAAGCCAATTCCTCTGAACCACCAGGCCCCCAAGCCAGCTTCTAAGCACAGAGTTGGAATACCAGGCCTGGTGTGAAGCGTGACCAGCATAACTTTATTACCAGTCTGTCCCTCCCTCAATGTGGAGAGGACAATTCTCCAGCCCCTGTCCTGGCGCAGATTTTCCATTTGTGTTTCAATCAACATGTTTGTAGGTAACAAAACACTTTTAAAAAGAGAGCTATTCAGTACAGAAAGATAGAGGTTAATTAATGAGAAGGAATAGCATGCAGATTAGTTTGGTAACCTAGGAAATAAACAAAGCTGCAATCTAGATTCAACACAGTGGACAGGATGTGAATCAAGCTATGTATTCCCCTGATGGTACAAACAGATGACCAGTCTTCCACACACACAATAGAAATCTCTCCAGCTGAGACCATATCTCATGGGTTATACACCACCCTGGTGGAATTGGTTATCAAAAGGGTCTGAGTCCTCATTCCCAGTTCCCTTACCCAGAGGTCTGCCTGACCTCCAGGATTCTCCTGCCACTCTTCTGTGCAGCAGAGTCCTCATAAGCACAAGTAATCTGGGCCGGGGATTCTTGGGAGTTTGACCCCCTGACTTGTTGTGGTCACAGAGGGCAGGAGCTAGTGTCACTCCAGGCTACCCTCTCTTCTTGGGGTGCTTCCCTGGCTCACTGATTATTAATATAGTTCAAGGAAATGGAATTTGGTGAATAGCAATCCATTAAAAATAAAAATTAAATGGGAAAGGTGAAAGGAAAATCTATAACCCCACCCTGTGGGGAACCCCAAACAGCCATTGCTGAAATATAAAGGTAATTCTTGGCCTGCCCGTGACCCAGGACTCTGTCTGGGTCCAGGAGACTGCCTTTAAGTCTAAGCAGTGGTTGGTCCTAGAAAGACATGTGACCACACTGCCTTGTACTGGGATAACAATTTGGCCAGGTAATTTTCCAGGGAAGGGGAGATGTAGAATAAAATATTTAAGCAATGGGAAGCTATTAGTCCCTTTGTCTTCGGCTCACAGGGAAACAAGGGCAATTGCAGACCCAAAACCAGAGTAAAAGATCATCTTTGTCTTGGAGGCTTACTTGAAATAGGAACAGTGTTGAGGGTAACTCATACAGATGATGGAAAATGAATCAAGATTGTGAAGTCCAAAGCTGACTGCAAAGAGTTAGAGAAGTAACTCGCTCAACGGTGTGATGGGGCAACACAGCGGCAGATGATATTCAGTATTGATAAATGGAAAGTAATGCACATAGCGAAATATAATCACAACGATACATGCAAACCAATAGGGTGTAAATGAGCTGGTATCCCTCAATAAAGAAATCCTGGAGTCATTGCGAATACGTCTCTGTGCGATGTAAAGTGGCAGTCAGAAAATCTAACCCAATCTTGGGATTTAGTAGAAAGGGATAGATCATAAGGGAGAAAATACTGTATTGTTTCTAGAAATCAATGGTTCACCCCCAGCTTGAATACTTCATACAGATCTGGCTGCCCCATCTTAAAAACCATATTTTGGATTTGGAAAACGGTGTAGGCAAAGGCATCATAAAGGATTAGGGGTACGGGACATCATCTGTATGAGGAGCAATTTAAAAGTCGGGGACTTTTCACCTTGGAA